GCTTCCTTCTGATAATTGGAGGGGGATTTAAGTCGATTATTGTCATAGAATAGTAAAACGATATCATTTCCCGCAATAAGAAAATTAAATTGTTCATTTAAATTAACCGTTTAACTATAATCGTGATGAGTGAGCTTTAACTGTCTCGATGAGGGATGTAAACAGGAGCTAAATGTGGGCAATTACACTTTGGAGTTTGAGAGAGAGTGGAAAGCAGCGGCCCTGTAGAAAATATGAGGGCTGTAAAAGTAATTGCTTGTTATAGCCGTAAGGGATGAAGCCCGTGTGGCATTTAAAGGAAACACAATCCCCCCGCAATCTCCTTCTAATCAGAAGGAATCACTGGAAATAAATACAATTAAGTTGGCCGAGGACTGGAAAAAGGCCTTCCGAAGGGCCTAAAGCCTTTGCCCTACTGCTCAGCCTCCCGGCCGAGATAACGGCAAGAAATCCGTGAACTATTTTCGGATCACGTTCTCCTTAAGTATCATTTGATCCGATTAGGACTCACTTTATTTTCTGCCCTGGTAAACTATAATGCTTCGCCCGGTCCACTAGACACAGATAACAAACAACCACTGAAGTAAGAAAATGGCTTTATACCATAATCTTAATTGCACTAACTTTCGGCCTCGATGTATCCATTTTGAAAGTTATCGCCACTCCTAACAAAAGGGAGACAATCCCATTGTTTTAACGTTTTCACAAACACGAGTTGACTCCTGTCCTTTAACCTGCATTCAATTTATTGAGGTATTAATCAATGAAGAGATGAAATATTAAGAAAAAATTTATTCATTAAAAAAAAGTTACTTTCTGTCTGTAATGTTAAAGATATTTCTGAAAACATTAATATTAGGCATGAAAAAAAATTCTCATTTTTAGTTATACCCTGAAAGTACGATAATTAGGCAAATAGAGCCAAATTAAAAGGTTTTTACATTACCTAGGGAGAAATGTCTGTTGGGCAGTTTTAGCTCATAATCAGGTTGTAGAACTACTTCAACCTGACGATGAGCCAAAAGCTGGAAATTCAGATTGTTGAAAACAACTTACTGTAAGTAGGAATTATCTTTTTAAAAAGGATTAGCTAGGATTTTGCTGAGACAGACTCAACTAAAAGATATGATACATAGTCATCGTGTAGCTAGCAAATTAGCAGGTTTAAAAATAAACGAAATAATGACCAACAAAATAAAATATAAAATAATCGAAGTTCACAGCCTGACGTCGATAAAGGGTATGTTTGTGTCAATTGTTGAGCTTTAAAGAAAAAACCTCAAAACAAGTACAACGAAGAAACACTCAAGGATTGTGGTTTAAAATTCATTACAAAAAAATTATAATATCACTCCGGATAAAAAAGGTCGAGTACTAAACACTTGTATAAAAGAAAGCCAATTCTTCTCTACGGTGCACAAATTCCTAGCCTAAAAATGTAGAATGTTTTTCAAGGAACAAAACTGTATGTGCGATTTATGATCTCATTATGTTCGTGAACAGTCTATTTTATGTGCAGATTTTGAGCCGATTTAAATTGTTTAAAAAAACACGAAATATGCTTAATTTCCTTACACTTTGCTTGCCATTACGATGAACATTTACGTCAAACTGCGCATCTGATTTAGTTTTGGAATTTGTCGCTTTATAACCTGCAATTTGTGGCTGAATTACATTGTTAATAAATCTAGGAAATACAGTTAATTTTCCTAATTTTTTTCTGGTAAGATCGATATTTTAGGTTCAGTTTCTCATCTCCCTTGTTTGTTAAACTGTCTTTATGTGAGGTGCAGTTTTTGAGCCGATTATACCGAATTATACTTAATTTTCTTACACTTTGCTTGCCTTTACGACCAACATTTACGTACAGCTTCGCATCTAATTTAGTTTTAGAATTTATTGTCGTTTTATAACGTGCAATTTTTGGCTGAATTAAATCATTTACAAAACTATGGAACACAGTTAATTTTTTTCAGGTAAGGTCGATATTTTTGGTACAGCCCCTCATCACCTTTGTTTGTTAAAACTGTTTTTTTATGAGGTGCAGTTTTTGAGCCGATTTAAATTGTTAAAAAAACAAAACACGAAATATACTTTATTTTCGTACTTCTCATCTGATTTGGTTTTTTAATTTATTGTCGTTTTATAACGTGCAATTTTTGGCCGAATTAAATCATTAACAAAACAATGAAACACAGTTTATTTTACTAATTTTTTTCTAGTAAGTTCGATATTTTAGGTGCTGCCTCTCATCACCTTTTTGTTAAACTGTCTTTTTGAAAGTTGTTTTTGAGCTGATTTAAATTATTAATTATCTGTAAATAACACTTAATTTTCAAAAAATTGATTGTTAGACCACCATTACGTGGAGCTTTGATTTACAAGTTGCAGTTTTGAGCTGATTTAAATCATTAGCAAAACAAAGAAATATATAATCTTAATTTTTATAAGTTAGTTTGGTGGTAGACCATTTCTGTGTGTGCAGCTTCTCACTCCTTTTGGTTCTTAAAATGTCTGTTTGCTTATTCTGACATCACTTCGCATTACAAACCACGAAATTTAATTTAAAATGTCTTTGGAATAGGAAAAGCCTACATTGTGCGTACGACTTCCTAACAGGTCCGACGGTTAAACAGATCATTTAAAATTGGGCAGTTTCTGTATTCATTTATATATGAACTAACGTAGGCACTTAAACACTTTTTGCCCTTGATACAGGAGTACGTGGAGCTTTCTATCTCATTTTTCCTTTATATAATTGATTTGAAATGTGTCCTAAAGTAAAATCTTACCTTTTATGTAGAATTTTGTCCGTGCTCCTTATCGCAAATCGGTACGACAACGTAATTAGTTTAAAAATATTGTTGATCTGATGATTTTTTTAAACGTGGGAATTTCAACTATGAGGTTATGTGAACCGTCGGGGTGCCGGTGTTTTTGAAAAAAGCCCATTTGTAAATATGTCGGGCCGCTGAATTTGAACCCGGGACCTTTACCTTTACCAGGGATAAGCGCTGCGTCAATGCCCCCCCCCCCCAATTGTTTTTGATGTGAAACAGACACATATCCAGATTTACATAATTGACAACTGTTCAATTCGGGTTAATTGAAGCACAGAACAGACATCACGAGAGGAAGTGAAATCTTTATAAAAACTAAAGTTTTCACTAAGCTGAGAACGGACATAAAAAACTCACAATGGATTGTAATTATAAAACAATCTTCCTGTCTCCGTGAAACATAAAATTGTACGACTTGGCTTTTCGGAAATTCAGGAAATATCTGCCAAGCCGGATTACATTATCAGGATTTTTATCATTCAAGAACCATTTATTTTATCCCGAAATATTATACTGATGGGGGTGAATGATTTTCATGTTTAAATAGAGGTGTAATTCGGCATTTGTCAGGCTCAGGTGCTTTCAATAGTTGGGTAATTTCAGGCCCCAAAATACGCAGCTTTTAAACCTGGATACATTAACATTTATTCTTGAATATATTATTTTCTATTTATATACTATTAATTCAAATAGGGTGATGGAGTACTGGAATTCCTCCACTACCCTTCACCCAGACTATATAACTAATCTAATTGAGGTTCGATAGGGTACTCAAAAAGGACAGTCAATATACATAGAAGGCAACACAAAACGAAACATCTACCAACTATTACATACAATAAACATCCCTGTTTCCTCTGAAAATCGGAACAGGGAACGCATATTTCTAAGCCCAAGTACAATTCTCACATCAGGAAGCCTTCCTACACGCTTTCAATATGGAACCAAGTAAGTGAAACGCTTCAATTATGTGGGACATTCTAAGCAACCTTTCTTACTTATACGGGTTTTGTTCCAAAAGTAAGCGTGCGTGTGTTAAACTAGTATACCATATTCTTTGTCGAGTGAGTATGAAACTTCTGCCGACCCTCTGACACTGCCAGAGACATATATATTCTCCAAGTTAATGTGCTGAAAAATATCCTAACTGTGGTGGTGTGTAGTGACCGTTAGTCAATGATTATTCGGAGATCGTGAGATGCGGTCTGGTGTGACGTAGGTTTTAGAAAAACATTTTCTTTATCGTGACAACGTTTCTATCTTTTTATTAAAATCATGTTCAGAACCTGGAATTTATAAACATTGTTTAAATTATACAAATACATGTAGGATGTGAAAAAATGAATTTATGCAATGCTAGAAATTTAAGACTCAATCAAAGTTTATTGAGATCATCTTCAAGGCCTGGGATTTATAAACATTGTTTAAATTGTACAAATACACATACAAATACATTTTTTCACATCCTACATGTATTTGAAAATTTTAAACAATGTTTATGCATCCCAGGTCGGCAGATGATCTCAATCCTGAAGATGATCTCAATAAAGGCCGAAACGTTGGCACGATAAAGAAAATGTTTTTCTAAAACCTACGTCACACCAGACCGCATCTCACGATCTCCGAATAATCATATCCTAACTATAATCAGCTAAAGTTATATTTCCGCAAATCGTGCGTAATTTCAAACAATATATATTATAGTATAAATGTTGTCAAGATGAGTAACCAACATTTTTTTAATATAAAGAATATGGTCTTAAACAACTGTCGGTCATTTTAGCCGACGTAAATTTTTAAAAGACCCCTTCTTCCTTAGTAATTTATCAATATTAACCATAGTAGTGTTTTTATTAATTTTACTAATTTAAAAAAATCGGGGCAAAATACTTCAAAGAGTACAAGCATATTACTATCATAATTTTATTTACATCACATTTATTTATATATACAGCAATATATTGAACCACGTAGCCGTTTATAATATATTGCAATACATATTTACTTTCAATATACATTTTAACAATAAACATATATATATGTATATATAAAAACTATTCACAGTCAGTACTTAAATTCTAACGAAGTCACTAGAAAATAAAACAGAGCTTTTTCGACTAATGTTTCTAATAAGGTATTGATAAACAATCTAAACACAGGGAGTTTTCTTTTTTTTATTAATAAGCGATATCTTTGGTATATTTTTTGAACACACGAATAAATTAATACCATTAGTAATACATTAATGTTTTCAAGGAAGCTTGGATTTACCACAATATTAATTGCGGTGTGGGTTTAGGATTTATATATATTTATGTATGCATATATATATTTAAAGAAAAAATAATAGCTCTTTGGATAGTACAATAGTTTAAAGAACGATTAGGAAAGGGACGGGGATAGTGTTAACATTTGTACATTTTTCATTTTAATAATTACGACAAACAATAACACAAATATAATGGTCGACCCGAGGAACATGCGGGCATGAATAGTTTTCGATCACATATGGAATGTACAACAGAGATCAACAATTATCCGGAGATCTACAATATAACAAAAGAAAAAAAATTTACATCAACAATTGCGATCTATAAAACGCCCTCCAACAATGAAGCCAAATAAATATAGTTTGCCTTTAAAATAAATATTGTCATATATCAACGAACCTGGTGGTTCGCTTTATTTGGCATTTGATTTATACGAATACAAAATAATTCAAAGGAATAGTATATTAGATTAAAATAAAATTAGAAAGCAATTTTTTTTTTTTAAATCGAGTTGTGCTTTTATTCCAGGAATTACATGAATCCCGGTACAGATCTGGAGCCAAATATTATTTACTTATATAAACAAAACGAAAAACTTAACAAATCTTAAAAAAGACAAACTTATACATTTACAAAGTAAAGATTCACATATATTAATTATATAATATTTATATATATTTATTTATATATACTCGATCACATAGAATGTGAAGAAAAATCTAGAAAGTGCTTTACAATACAAATATATAACGGTTTTTGCAAGTTCTAATGGGCTTGGTAGTGGTCGCCGGAGAGTGCCGCGGAAAGGTGATGGTGGTACGGCGGCTGCTGAATGGCGTTCGACGGGGTGTCGAACAGCGACATCTTGAGCCTCTTGCACTTGGCCCTCCGGTTTTTGAACCAGAACTGCACGTTCTTCGGCTCGAGAGGTGGGAACTTCTGCCTGTACGGCATCCTGTTCAAGTCGTCCGTGTACTTCAGGATCAAGTTGTGCGATGGGTGGGTGTTGAGGGCGAACCACTGCTCAAGCCGGGGCACCTCGCTCACCGGGTCGATGAACGTCCGATTCCGCTTCCTCCGTTCGTCTGCCAATGCCGACAAATTCATCTGTGGTAATAAAAAACAATTTATGTTTTTTAACATAATACTGGATATCGCATATTCCGAAATAAAGATTAAGCCGGCAAAAACTCCTTGCCAGTTTCATTCATTATAGATCTTATCTAACCAGAGATTCGTATACTTGATATAGTACTTAACATAGTAGAAATACATTTTATAACGTTCGCAACACTATTCTACATTCCGAAAATACATCATAGCCGTAATTTAAAATCTTGATCCAGTAATCTACAGATAGAAATCATTCGAATTATGTCAAGACCCTGAGCAATATATCAACATTGTTTGACGTCTCAGAATTAATAAAATTAAAAACTATTTTCTTATCTGAAAAACCTTTTACGAGGTTTTATGTAAGACCGTCCTATTATAAGCAAATAACAATGTAATAAAAAAATGTATCTGTAGTCAAAAATAATGGATATGGAAGAAACTCCAAACGGTTTTTCAATTTAAAAACACTATTTATTACTGACAATCTTTTACAAATAACATTGTTTAGGGTTAATTATTTATTTTTTGGGTAGCGACAATGGTGTCATTGGTGCATTGACTATGCCACTATGCACTATGAGGATCGATGTGTACTCGATATTCCGCCATCGGCCCCTCCCTTCCTACTTACTCATACATACAAACCAACAAAAATATACATACACATTGTATAGCTACATAATAATTATATATAATATTTAAAATATTTACAGATGGAGAACCACCCCCGTTTCTCCTAAAAGTCGGAACAGGGGACCCAACAACCAACTCCCTTGGCTAAAGGGGCCAGGACGTGGCACTCCTCTCGGTATGTAGTCATTTAAAACAAATATAATACATCCTTAAGAAAAAGAAGGCTTATAATGAAATGATTTCACCGGAGCATTTTACAGAAAGAAAAATTTAATTGTGCAAATACTCGACCTAAATTAATTTGAAATTAATAAGATTTGATAAACGGCTTGATACGATTCATAATAAGTTGTATCATCGTTTTATAGTTCGGAACTGATATGATATAATTCTTTTCAAATCAAAAATATTATGGAGAAACGCTGAACTGTGTTATTATTCGGTATTTATATAAAATAATTTATAAAACTATCTATAATAGGGCTAGGATAGATAGATCTGCATTATAATTAACGACCATATTTGACGTTCATCACCTCGCCACATGGGGAAAATTTCACAAAAAAACTTGCAACAGTTTAAGCAAGATTATTAACTTTTTTAAATTGCATTTATTTGTTATTTACAAATACAAATATGTTAATTTTTACTCGTGGGTGAAGACGGACCCAATAAGTGGCTCAGCATGAGATCACCGAATCGCAGATTACCCAACATCATTAACTCAAAATAGTTTCTGTATGTGCAGATTGTGTCGTTTGAGTCACTTGGAGATGTTGTCCAGTGATAACACTCCTTCACCTTTCGCCATTAGTCACTCACTGAAGTCTAGGGGCCACTTTCGTTTCAATCGTCTCGGAGGATTTTCCGGTAGGGTTGGAGTGATAATTGTAGTACTAGTAGATTATTGTGGATGCTCAATGATTGATGACATTTTTTATATCGTGTTTTGTTGAGATCGTGTACAAACGGGATGTGAAGGTCGTTACGTACGATTTGAAGCATAAAAAGGAGCATTTATAATTTGACGGAGAATTTTAGACTGAATTGATTGGAGACGATGGGAATTGGAATCCTTGGCTGAGCCCCACACTTCACCACCGTACGCCCAGAGAGGTCTTTTAATTGTCTTGTAAATTAAAATTTTATTTTCATTTTCTAATTTTCAATGTGAGTCAAGTTCGTTTTGATAATTTCTTGCGTCGGCTTGTTTGCTGTCTTTTCAATCTTCTGTGGGGATTCCAAGTCAGTCGTTTATTCATGAAAAGTCCAAGATTACGCACAAGGTCAGTAGTAGGCAATGGGTCTCCGTTTAAATTCTCTGCACGACAAATATACGTAAGGTAATTTTTATTTGAACACTTTTCGTTAGATCGTTACTTTGTGAACCATACTGTTAATTCATTGTGATGTGTTGAGTGTTAATTGAGGGGTCCGAATTATGAGTAAGAATTGCTGTATCATCAGCAAATGTATGTATTGAAATGTTAAATGTGTAGGAATATCTTAAGTGTATATTGAAAAAAGAAATGGGCCAAGTATGTTCCCCTGAGGAAGACCCGCCCTTATGCGTACATAACGTTCAAATTCAGTTGAGATAGATATCAATATGAGATAGTATGCTTGAGAAGGGCAGATATTCTTTTGAATCCAAAGCAAGCCTGAGTCACAGAGTCCATCGAAGGCATGTTCTAAATCAAAATAGACACCCAAGCAATTCTTTTTTTGTTCAAAGAAGTATCCAAACTGATGATCGGGAATAATATTACTATTGTGTGTTATTTAGAGACCGGTTGGTCATTAATTTGTTCAAGTGGTGAGGAGCGGTTAGGAATGACGTGTTTGATATAGACACTTTTCATTTTTTCGGCACGTTTCGACCTTTACGTGTCATCGTCAAGGCCTGGGTAAAATACAAAACATATGTTGATTGGAAAAAATAAATGTTAACAAGACATATGTACATTTTGTATTTCCTACTCACATAAAGTCTGATACCATTTTTGAGGTGTCATGTTTGTTTCGCGTGAAAGTGTTGTGAAACGTGAATTTGTATTCTGCTGTTTTTATATAATTGTGAGGGTGGAGAATGCGGTAAATCTGGAAAATTTTCTTTGATCACGCGGTTTTATTTTACTCAAAGAATGTCGAGATTGGGGATTTTCTGTACTGGCTTTGTAATTCGGGGTTTATTCAATGAGTTCAGTTATTAATATTGGAGTTATAAAAATTCAGTTCCTAGTTCAGAATGTATAAAATAATTCATAAGCCAAAAAATATAATAAAGTAGTAAATACTGGTGTTCTCGTACTTAAAAAAAAAAGAAATACTTTTTTCTAAACTTTGTAAAGTCTTGTGGAATTATTTAATACCTGTGCGTGATGATGTGATGGGGGAGGTGTGAGCCCAGGGAAATAGTGGCTCATGTACATTATGCTGTGGCTGAACATCGAGTTGGGAACAATAGGAAATCCTGGGCGAGGGGTTTCGCCGCCCCCTGCGCCGCCTTCCGTTTTCACTTCTATCTTGTCCTCCTTGTTATCCTCCACCTCCGACATCACTTCGTCCATCTCCTCCTCTTCTTCTTCGGACACCTCGTGCTGTTCCTCCTTCGACGAGGTGTTGTTGTTCTGAGAATCGCTTATCGCCTCCGACGACGCCCTGTGACCTTCAGGGTCGTCCTTGTTTTCCTCACCCTGCTGCAGATAAATACGAATAATAAAATGAAATAAATGTTTCGACTCGTCGATCAATCACCTGTGTGTTTTCCGCCGGGGACGGCGATTCTTTATTTCGAGGAGATGGGCTTCGATTTGTGGTCAAAGAAAGTGGTGCAGGCGAATGCGGTTCGATTTCATCGTCGTCGTCTTGGTTTGTGCTGGCTGGGCTTTTCGTCATCATCCCTGTGTCGCTGGGGCTTTGGCTGTTGCTGTTGTAACCGTTCAAAAGAAGATGGCAATGCATACCTTGTTTCAAAAAGTGACATTTTAAAATTTTATCCGAAACCCTTTACAAAAAGTAATATGGATCGCGTTTAATCACCTGGAGTGACACTCCTTACTTCAGCCCTTTTCTGGGCTGCACGCGCATTTTTGAACCAATAAACAACGTTGTTGACATCAAGAGGTTTTCTCCCTCTTCTAGATTCCAAGCTGTTCAATTCCCTCACATATTGTTGAATCTTTAAAAAAATCAAAATACATTGAAATTTCCTTCGGGGAATCGTAAATTAAATATTTTATGGATAAAATTTGAAAAGAAAGGATAGAAGAGCACGGACACTATGGCACAATGTCCTTACTAATAGTTTTCTAATTTTACTGAAAGAAGAAGTCACCTGTTGTCTACTCGGATGTTGGTTTTCCATAAACCATCTTTGCAATTTAGGAAGCTCTAGCTCGGGGTCGAAGCTAGTCCTCATTCTTGTCTTCGGCGTTGGATACTGGTTTTGTACCGTCTACAAGACCACATTTTAGTACGAAATTCACAGGGTAAATTAACGTTTAGTTTACCTGTAGTGCTGGATGAACGTGATTTTCCTGAGGCTTGTCCATGAGCGGCTTGCGATCGTGGACTTGCGGTGGCGGCGAAGAATACCAAGAAATCGGTGGCCTCACCAGTCTCGCTTGTTGCACCGCCCACCACTGGTCGAATTTCCTTCTTGTCTCTTCGCTGGGCTGTTCCAGGGAAGGCTGGCCGCTGCCGTTCGGCCCGATGGAACTGGTCCTGATAAGCTGGGAAACGACATTCTGCAAAAATGGTGAAAAAGTTCGTTTCAGGCCAATTTTTTGTATGTGGGAAGAAGGTTCAGCCGCCTTGAAAGCTCTTATCGTTTCAAAAGCATTTGCAATAATTATTTCTCAGAAAGAAAATAGTGTTTTTCCTACAAAGAGAACTTAGCAGATAAGCTCGCTTGAGGAAAAAGTATTTTAGTATGGTAGTAAGAGTGATAAACATTGGAAATCGAATGTTTTAATCTTTTTTATTTTGGGCCGTAATATTTAAAAATATTTTGTTAGGAGAAGCTGTTCCTGACTTAGACAATAGACTTGACAGTACACTTCAGTCCAATGCAAATTTCTCGTAATATTCATATATTTCTTGTATTTATTGTACAATACACGTTTTACACATGGCTTAATTGTTTAAAACTAGGTAGGCAATAAATCTGAAATTTAAATAAATTTGAATAACAATATAGGATTTATTTAGGATTAATTAATGATGGTGGTTCTTATACCACCCATATACCAGGAATTTTCTAGCTCATCGACAGTACTCCATTGATAGCTGTGCTTTACATTAATTTGGTCTGTTCAATTCAATTGAAGCTTAAATACGTTTTTGTTTGTTAATCCAACAGTAAATAAGAGAAATGTTCTTTTTATTTAATAAGTTGGCGGTAGGATTCCGCGAATAAATATGTGATGAACTTTACAATCCTGTCTGGAAAAAAAATTAGGTGGATAATTCAACTTCGAGGTTATATCAACTGAGGGTTCATATAACCCTGAGGGGGTGCCGGTGTTTTTGAAAAAAAAAAAGAAGCCCATTTGTAAGTATTCCCTTACAATAATGGCCGGGGTCGACGCCTAAATTCATACATACCAACGCATAGCGTGTCCAGTACGTAATGAGGCAGATACGGCAAAGACACAAGTTTTCACTCCGTGACAACTATGCTAAATGAAACGTACTTACCTATTTTGTTTAAACTTAAGCATACTTAAAAACGTGTGTGGTGATTAGTGACCGTTAATCGATAATTATTCAGACATCGTGAGATGCGGTCTGCTGTGATGTAGGTTTCAGAAAAACATTTTCTTTATCGTGCCAACGTTTCGATCTTTATTGAGATCTTCTTCAGTGCTCAAACTGTTTTCTTCGTTGTAATTGTGCCATTCTTGCGTGTCGTGTTGAGGCACTCTCAAGATCGAAACGTTGGCACGATAAAGAAAATGTTTTTCTGAAACCTACGTCACACCAGACCGCATCTCTCGATTTCTGAATAAATATTTAAAAACTTTCGATTGAAGAATTAGCTATGGCAGTAATTTTGTTTGAAGAAGAAGAAGGAAAGAGAGTGACTGTGTGGAAGTAGAGCAAAAAAAGAAAATAATATTCGCTGTACACCCAAAGAATAAAGAAAAGAACAAGGATAATTCTACACGATTTTTCGTTGTTCCTCACTATGGATTCAATATGAAAATTACAAAATAAAAAATAGTGACTAACACCTCAGAAACGCACTAGATCAGTATAATTCATTCTAAGCATGCCAATGCTACAAGTGCGTACAGACATGCACAGACACGCGCCGTACAGTTCATATATTCTTTACGACAATACTGACCGTTTCTGGCGCGTGTCTGTACGTTTCCTGCTGAAGTGAATACTCATGTGGGTAATATGTGAAAAAAAATGTGTCTTAGCTGGTACATGCTGGACACTCAACGTGTTAGTATATATGGCACTTAAATAGTTACGACCACCGACGCCTCCATTGGCACCAATTTAATAAATGAGTATAATCTATCCGTGATCAATTTTTAATTAGCCAAAAAAATTGAAAAAAAAATGTTTTAACGTTCCTCATCGGCTAATTGGATTAGGTTTAAAATTAATTACACATTATTCGAAGATCTTGAGGGCGGTCTGGTGTGACGTGGGTTTTAGAAAAACTCTTTCTTTATCGTGCCAACGTTTCGCCCTATATTGAGATCATCGGCACGGCCTGGGATTTATAAACATTGTTTAAATTTTACAAATACATGTAGGATGTGAGAAAAAAATGAATTTATACAATGCTAGAAAATTTTATATTCAGTCAAAGTATTTTTACTCACTCAAAGTGTTTGTTTTCTGCGTGATTGTGCCATTCTTGCGTGTCGTGTTGAGAGTGCCAATGAGATATTGCTGTTTTAAGTTTATATACGTTGATTTTGGAGGGGTGGGGAAGGAAGTCGGGATAGAAAGACATTCTTGTATGAGGAGTCGGCTTCTTTGAGGTGAAAGGAGCCGACAATGGGAAAAAATGGGTAATGGTTCGGCCTGATTATCCTTTCAGGATTATATAGACGGGGATAATTAGGGAAAAGAAAGCGAAATTGTTGAAGAATTAGACTATGTAGAAATGTTTGATGTGTGGAATGTAATGATTGTTTTATAGCTTGATCCCGTACCGAGACACGTTGGGGTAAGTGAAAATTCGAATTTATCCCAATCCCCTCCTCGGATTCACTCTTTCCCATTTTCTTTAATTTTGAATTTATTTAGCCTTTAATATACAGTCCACTTAACGAACATGTTATATGTTTTGTGTGATGTGATGACGATATATGTATGTTATCGACATTGAATTTGATTAATGATATTGTAGTAGCTGCGACTGAGTTTACATGTATCTGTTCTGTAATTGATGCGGTGTTAATGGTGGGTTGTTGGTTTACGAGAAGATAATCTCTCTCCTGAAGATGATCTCAATACAGATCGAAACATTGGCATGAAAAAGAAAATGTTTTTCACATCTCACAATCTCGAATAATCATCAATTAACGGTCACTAACACCCTACATTAATGACACAGCTTAATGATGCCATAAAAGATAAGCAAATCAGGCAGGGGTGATGTGTTGCATTATACATAAAGAAACCATCTATTTTATCAAATTTTACTACAAAATTTTGTTCATTTCGCAAAAACCTTTATTTTTTAATAGTTTTTCTTGTGTCAATTAATCCTCCTTCAAGTGGAAAACCGTTTAAGGTGTTTCATCACCTTAACGTTAATTCGAGCCGTCCTTTCCGTTTCTTTATAATTTACAACGACATTTACACAGCCCTTGTTTATTCCGTGTCCGTTAGCAAATAACACAGATTTAAGCATTGTTCTGAAAACGTTGGAAAGTCAAGGGATTCCATAAATAATTCCTAATCCTCTTGAGATTTACAATCCGTTACTTGCGTTTTCATTCCTCTTTGCCTTAAAGATAATGATAATTTAAAATCTTTGAGATTACGTTAGATCACGGTTAAAAATTGAATCATAAATAGGTTTTTTGGGTTTTCTTTAAAAAAAAAAAATATACCGCTGTGATGTGATCAATGGCAACGATACACAGTAACGATTCACCTTAAGAAATTTTAAAAGGATATCATTCCCAAACTTACTTGATACATATAATAGGAAGAACGGGCGATAAAAACGTGTCGGTATTTAGTCCGGCCCCCGGATGCTGTGAACACGTATGTCGTCGAAAGCCGGTGTCCAACTTGTCGTCCGAATATAAATAAGCCCGGCCCACGGGCTACTGAGAATTGTCAAGGAAAACCTCGGGCGAAAATCCAATTTCGCCTTTATTTTCACGGTAAACGGGCATTAAGATTAACAACCGTTTAATAATAAAATATATTTTTGTTGTTAACAAATTGTTTTTTCTTCCCTGATTTAAATGTTATTTTAACCCTTCGCTGAACTTACCGACAGCCAGCAATCAGACGTTTTCAGTTGTTTAATGGAAAATTAATTTCTGGGACAGTTCATGAAAATGTTGTAAATAGCTAAAAATTATTGTTAGAAAAATTAATATATATTTCCTCTTAATTTTACTTAGGAAGGGTTACATGAAAGCGTACCTTTAGATTACAAATCACATTAATTTTTAACACTTAATAATAATTGACTTGAGGAGAAACAAATGGAACAAACGTACAATGCTCAAAAACCCCAACACCCAAGGAAAGATAAAGAGAGAGAGAGCGAGAGAGAGAGAGAGAGAGCGAGAGAGAGAGAGAGAGAGAGAGAGAGAGAGAGAGAGATGCAGATATATAGAGATAATTTATACTCGAACTATTAAACAAAAAAGTCAAAGACTACGTATAGTGGATGGTATACAGATTATACAAAAATTTATTCCTTGGAGATTTCCAAATCTTATCCTTATCTTATATAATTTTTTGGGAAATTTTGTACAATGTTGGTATGTACAGATGTTTCGTTTTACATCATTTATACAAGCATCATTAATTTCTAAGAAATATATATTTTATATATATTTCGTTATGATATTTTATGGGTTGTCTTTTAAACATGGCAATGTTTCCAACAAAATGTCTCTATGTTGTATAACTGAATTTGTACAATTATATTAATTTCACTAATTTATGTTTTGCCATTTTTCAAATGATTGGATTCTCGGCGACAAATGAAAAAATGGCAAAAAGGAGGGGAAATACAAAAGGGTTGAGATGGGAAGTTGGTGTCCGAGTGGATCGAGGTCACGATAGCTCAGGTAGTAGAACAGCGGCGTATATAGCCGAAGATCGTGGGTTCGAATCCCGCTCGTGCCATTGACGTTTTTATCTCAACTAAAAACCTTAATTAATTGTAATTGATATTGACAGTCAGATAGATAGTGATACATAGATAGAGAGATAGATAGAAAGAGAGAGATAGATAGATAGAAAGAGAGAGACAGAGTGAGAGTGAGTATGGGATGGAGTGGGTGAGGGGGAGAGGGTGAGAGTGTGAGGGAGGGAGAGGGAGAGGGAGAGGGAGAGAGAGAGAGATACAGACAGAGAGAAAAGTATACTCTAAGAAAGATATATATATATATATATATATATATATATATATATATATATAGAGAGAGAGAGAGAGAGAGAGAGAGGAAAGTTTGTGTTTAAAATCTACATGTTGGAAATTTCCAAATCCACATACACGTTTGACTTTTTCAAAAATGTTGTTTAA